GGCCCAGCTAACCAGCAAAGGTATGTGTTGCAGCCTCCCAACTTGTCGGAGAGGAAGCAGAGCCGCACTGGGTCTCTCGTGCTGCCCTACATCATGTCGTCCACCCTGCGGAGACTGTCCGTCACCTCCGTGGCGTCCTCTGTGATCTCCACCTCTTCCAACTCATCTGATAACGCACCTTCCAGACCTGGATCTGATGGGTAAGGATTTGGACCCAGACACACACACACACACACACACACACACACACACCCTTATTAACGTTTTCTTCCTCCAGAGAAAAATCATCCTGGCCTCTGGGCCATTCTCCATGTCATCCTCATGACAATATCTTGTACATAATGACAACAACAGTGATGAAAAATGCCTCACCCTTATGTTGGGGAAAGGCCAGCCCCCCACAACTAATTATGGGTTTGATAGGTGCAATTGTACGGTTTAAAAATATATATAGAGAGATAGAGAGATTATAATAAAGTTATAGAGAATAAGGAGAGATAGAAGAGAGGTTGAAATAATGGAGTCAGACATATTTTATGGTAGCATGCTCACCTCAGCCTCACTTGGTGGTCCACGTGGAGAGGAGAGCAGAGACCAGCAGAGAGGGGGAGGTGAAGGAGGACCAGGGAAGAGGAAGGAGGAGTGGAGAAGAGAGAGGAGAGGAGAGAGAAGATCAGGAGAGCAGGATCCAGAACCAGGGGAGAGAGCCAGGGTGAGAGGGAGGTGAGGGAGAGAGAGCTTCTTTATTACTAAGGCTTATTTATCTTTTGGGGAGCGTGCAAGTCCCCTAATTACAGGTAAAGACATACGTCACAGGAAGGGGTTGTACAGTAGGTTATACAGCAATGAGAGGGGGACAATCTAGGGATTTACACTCAATAGGAAGAGGAGGGATTAAGGGTATACTTGTGACAAAATGGGCGGATCCCAGATTCAGGATGGCAGCCTAACTTTGGATGTCACTGAGCAGGTTTGACCTGTTCTCTGGCTCTCCTTGGAAACCATTATTAGTAGGGTGTGAACCCCACCTACAGTGGACCAGATAGTAGTCTGATGGCTGAATGCCTTCAGGGAGAATATCTCTAAGCATCTGACCTCCCACCATGTGTTGGCAAATAGCCTCTAGTATTTGGCATACCTTTGGGGGAGACAAAGCTGGGGAAAAGTCTCTTTATATCCCACACCCCTATGTTTACCATCACACTGTTTCATTTCTCTCTTTAAAACATGCTTTAAAATAATCTTTTATTTCCTTATTTTATGGGGGTGGGGGGGAGATCGTATAAGCGCATGGTATGAAATCCAAAAATACCGAAAGGTACCTTATGAGGGCTCGCTCTTCAACCCCTGACCCCCAGGCTCTGATTCCAATCCCCAGAGGCACCGGATGTGAACATCGATTCTTGGTCCCTTCCCAGCGGCTCTTCATACTGACACAATCCCAGACATTTTCCCCGACTTTCTTACACAAATAAAAACATACAATGCTCTCGTCACCTTGCTTTCCCCCCTCCCACTGTGGTGTGCCTTGACATTCCCTCGAGTCAGACTGCAGAACCCGCCATTGTCGGATGGCCCCGCAGCGTGCTGTCATGCCTACCGATGGGCATTTCCTCGTTACCACCGAATCTCCTCCACCGACTGTGCAGGGTTTCCAAAGCTACACGTCTCCCTGGGAGCAGACAGACTTGTCTTTCACTCAAGGGTCGGTGGGTGGGTTTAGTCCATCTGCCCCGTGACTCCCTTCCCTGCCCTCCAGGAACCGTCTCTCCAGTTACGCTCGCTCTCGATGTCTCTGTCTACCTAAGACGGGTGGTGGGTGATTTCTGTCCTCATGCTTGTCTGCTAGGTCCCTCCTGGAGCCTCTCTTTGAGCGCAGGGCCTCGTCAGGTGGCAGAGTCGAAGATCTGCCCCCCAGAGAGGACAGCGAGAACCGCATCAGCAAGTTCAAGAGAAAAGACTGGAGCCTGAGCAAGTCCCAGGTCATTGCGGAGAAAGCACCGGACCACGATCTGATGGTAAAAGGGGGAAAAGAGAGAAAGCATCTGAGGTCTGCCACTGCCCCCCTGGCCGCTAGGTAGGCGCGGGCCCTCCCCTTCACAGCAGCGAGTCATCAGGTGAAGCCCAGCCGGGGCTTGTCTCAGCGCAGAGCCAAGCAGCTCGCGCTGGGTGTCAGATCTCAGGTTGGGAGAAAGCCGGGCCAGAGAAGGTGCGATTCTTTTTCTTTTTTTTTAGAGTGTGAGTTTGTAGATCGGTATTGGGTTAGGCTCTTGAGCCCACAGGGTAAACTTGTGGGCTGGTGCTTGGAACTGTGGTTCTCATCACCGTGTACCATGAGTCAGTCCAAACATTGTCATTCCTCTTCTTTGAACTCGTAAGACAGAACCAAACCAAAAAACTCCTCCTTTTCCAAGCTACCCTAACTTGGTAAATGTGGCAACTTGCCCTGGGAATCAGGGTGGCCTATTTCCCACTGAAATGACATAGTGCAGCTGTGGTCAAGAGCTGGTCTGTAGCCAACCAGAGAGCACTCTGGGCGTCGGGGATTCCCAGTGCGCATCTTGCCTTTGGTGCCGAGTCTCTTCGGCAGTGGTGGCAAGCTTAAAAGTGGCCCCTGGGATTATGCCCGGTTGCATGCTTCTGCTCGGGAGACAAGGTTGTTCAGAGCATCAGGACGCTCCCCGAGTTCCTCACGATGAGAATGTCCTGCGGTCTTTCCCCTGCAACTAGAGCCCATCCAGAAAAGCACAAAGGCCAAAGAGTCTCCAGCTGGTGGACAGTCGGCTAACGCCTTTTCAGGGCTCTTCGCCTCCTCAGTCAATGCCCTTGAGCCCGCCACCACTCACTCCGAAAGCTACCAGGACCCTGAGTAAGTTTTCCAATGGCCTTACTTTCTTTTTACCAGGGAACGGACTAGGGCTGCAGATCTGGGCAATGTTTAACCAGACCAGTCACAAAATCCACGTGACTGGTATACAGTTGGTTCGGGTCAGTGGAAGTCGATAAAACCCACTTGCACTGGAGGTTGGCACGGAGCCCTGAGAACCTCCTTAGTTACCATTGAGGTGTGCTGTCTGATTAGCACAAGGAAACTCCGTCTGGGGGTGTGCCTGCCTCCGTCACGATCATTGGCCCGTTTGGGCCCATTATTATGGCGGTTGACCATTGTCCACCGTCCTGATCTAAATGTGAATGTATAAAAGTGCGGAAGTAGGATTGGGACCAAATAGCAAGCAGGTACTTAGGAACTAACTCTTGAAAATGAGAGTCCAATATTTCATATTGGCATGGTTTTAAAATAGGGACAAGAAATAGAGGTGGCCCATATAGTACATGCAATCTGGCCTGAGGAGCTGTGGGTTACAAACAAGCAGACAAACACTTGAGGAGAATTACACAGAAAGGGGCATAATGGAGGAGTAAGTCCAGCTGGGAGATAGTGGCCAACCAAGAGTTCCTCCGGGGAGGTTTCTTGGAGGAAGTGGATTATTCCACACTGAATGACAGAACCACCAAAATACAGTTTAATTCAACCAGCACTTATCAAGCCCTTGCATCATGGGCTAAGCCTTGGAGCCAGCTCGGAGAACAGAGGAGCAGCCCACCTGCCACATCAGGGTCTCACCTGCGGCGTAGTAGTTCTAACCTTGGCCAAGGAAGAAGGCATTTGTACTTCACAGCTCCTTGGAAAGCCCGTGAGGCCTCCTGGTGAGTGAGAGGTGCCGCATTTGTTCTGTGAGGTGGAAGGTGGTCAGCGACTTCCTGCCCACAGAAACCCTAGAACCTGTCTCCAGCAGCTTGACGGGCCGGGTTGATATAGGGTTTAAGATGGCAAGCAGATTTTCTGATTGCCCTTCATGATTTTCTTTCCTTGCTTTTATTTGCCTTGTGCTGTTTCTAGGCTCCCCATCTTTGCAGACGGATGGGGTGATGCCGTCTACACTCCCGCCTCCACCTCCCCCAAAGAGCAAGCCCTACGAGAGCAGCCCAAAGCACTCTGCAGAGGTAGGGCCCCCGGCCCCCGGCTGTGGCCAGAGAGCACCCCTCAGGGCGACACAGCACAGGGTTTTCCAAGTCTGTTGCTAGCAAGTTTTCTCGTATATTGGTCCCTGCCATCAGTTTTTGGCTCATTCCTGAAACTGCCAACAGTACAAGTGTTGTCAATGGGCAGTGAAGATGCTCAGATTACATTTTTCCATCAACCCGAAGGTAGAACACTTCTCTGTGCCTCACCGTGGTACAGGTGTCCGATCTGAGAAGTGAGTTCTGGTTCACCTTTGAAGAGGTCCGTCTGAATGAGTGACAGCCATTCTAGCATTATGTCTGATGCGTTTCCTTCCTTCATTCATTCAACAGATAGTCACTGTCTACTGTTTGCCAGGTGCCCAAATGCTGAGGAATTGTTGAGTGCTGGATGTGCGAGTGGGGGAGTGTTGCGGGATGGATGTGTGAGGGTGGGTGTGTATGTGTGCCTGTGTTCATGACTGATGAGCTCAAGGGGAACCAGACAGAACAAACCATTCCTTTTCCCCCGGTGAAAGCTGTGTTCATAAAGTCTGGTCAGTTAGAAATGAAAGGTCGAATGTGGGAAACATGGAAAAGAAGGCTAATGTGGGAAGATAAGACTTCGTTTCTAATTTCATGTGTCTGCTTCCTCAGGTTGCTCCCCCACTGCCTGTCCGAAGAGAAGCCAAAGTCCCACCTCCACCCCCTCCCAAAGTCCGGAGGTCCGGCATCCTTTCTGCTGAGCCTGGATCTCAATGAGGGTCTCTTCTCTAGAACTGGGTGCCTTGGACAGCTGATGCCTGAGAAATGGCCTCCAGGGGACAGTGCACGCCCCACCCTGGGCAGACTCCTGCTGACTACTCTGTTCTGATCTGGGGCGAGGCCCATCAGCTCAGCACGTGTGGGTTTCCATGTGGAAGGCTGGAGATGTTTGAAGCCAGGCCACTTCACCTCCAGACCACACACAAGTCCAGCACGGGGGGCTCTCTGTGCATTTCTCAAAGGAGGGCGGTCTCCCTTGCGATGATTAAACTGTGCCTCTGGTGCAGAGCCACCAGGAGCTGCAGAAAGCCTGGCGAAGTTCTTCGGCCGTGGTGAGGAGGCCACCCAGTGTCGTGCTCATTGCAGCTCTTGCTTGCTGTGCTTCGAAACGCTGTGCTTGCGGCGGAGCGCCTTTCCTGTCCCAACTAGTGTACCAAGAGACGAGCATCAAGGATGTGTCGGGAGCCAAAATAGTGTCACCGTTCTAATGTCAGCTGTGTCTCCTTTGAGGAAAAGAACACCCGTGTTGAATGGAGATCGGGCGTGAATGGCTGTCTTTATTGGACACAAAGCATGGGCGCAAAGTTGGACTCTGAACTTTGTAGCCCCACCCCACCCACCCACCCACTTGTAATATGGGAAGCTCCCCCGTGCCCCGGAGTCAATTACACTCCTGCCTATTGGCCATGGCTGCAAAGGAGAAGCCCTGTTGTTCTAAGGACCCCTCTGAAACCCTCCCATTGGCACGCAGTTTCTTGCCCTGTTACCTCCTCTGAGCTCACGTCCCTGTGCGTCAGGGACGTAGAAGCCTGCAGCCCGCGTGCACACACCTCTTTTGCAGGTCCCGTGTGGATGGTCAGTAGCTCCCATTAGACCCTGGACAATTCTGTGCAATACTTCCCTTTATTGTTTCTTCCTCTCTGTGGTGGAATGAATTCGATCACTTCTAGCGGTACTGAAGTCAGTGCACTTTCAGAAGAAAGCAACCTGGGGATTAACGATCATATGCACATTCATAGACAGCCACACAGAGTGGTGGGCGGTTTGAGCGGGAAAGACTGTAAAGGACACACAAGCATTCATTGTATAGATACAGGAAACTGAGGCCGAGTGAGAATTGATGCTGACTCTAGACTCTTACTCATGCCAGCTTGCTAATTTAGCCTCCCTCCTCCCCCCACCCGGGATAGCACACCGCTCCATTCCTGGCAAGTTCTCCACTGCCTGCCCTGGTTGGAACCATATTTGAGATGTCACAGATATTTCTGTAATAACCTAGAAGCTGATTGGAAAACTTTAAGCAAAAAAAAAAAAAAAATTATTTTTGACTGTGGATCTCCTATGGAGAGGTTCACCAGGAATCTCAGCAGCCCTCGCCCCAATCCTCAGCGTAGACAGCAGAGAAAGATTTCCGAGGCTAAGGTGTCAGTCCTGAGAGCTTGGTGATGCCTGCCTGCCTCTCTCGTTTGCCCGGCTCTCTGCCCAGCACCCCTTTGAGGTGAGACACGCGAGTTGATCACAAAGATCGGGGAACCAGAATCCTCCCAGGCTGCTCTAATGTGACTCCGGAAATCTGCATTCCTCCTGTAGCCGTGAAGGGTTGCATCCCTACCCCCACCGTGGACACCTGAAGTGTGGTGTCTTGGAAAGGACACAGGCTACGGAAGGCAACAGGTTTGGTTTCACACCCCAGCCGGTCAGCTGTGAACCTGACCCATTCACTCACGTCACCATCTGAAATACGTCTGGGTTTCATTTCCACATCGCTCACCATGGGGACCATACCTGCCAAGGAGGCTGTTGGATTGGGATGGCGACATCCAGACGCTCCGCCAGCCCTGAGTCAGAGCTGAGACTCCCTGAGAGCATGGTGCTTATTCTCGCTTTAGTGGGCACTTGCCTCTATGTACACACAGCCCCGCTTCAGAAGAAGGCATCTCAGGGTATCTTATATAACTGAACAATGAGGAACAAAATGGTACCAGGAAAGGATTTTAAGTGGAAAGAACTGAAGGGGAAACACTGTGTGGGGTTTCTAGTGAACCTGGGTTTAGAGGGAACTCTGAGAAGCTGCCTGTAAGAGGGACTTCACAGGGATCGCATGCCTTGCCTCCCTCGCAGGTAGAGCAATGTCACTGGGCAGGAAAAGGTCAAAGCTGAAGCCTTTCCTTCGAGAGCAGGGCAAGTGAGCCCGCGTCTGGTCTCGGGCAGAGACTGTGGGGCACCTCAGAGCTCAGGCGCTTTCCTTTGATTTCTGTGAACGTATTCCATTCGATCCCCTTTCCACACTCATGGAAACAAGAGTCTCTCTCCTGAACCCAAAGGATTCTGGGTAGCATGGAGGAATAAGCCCCAGAGGACTTTTAAGAGGTTAGCCTCTTTGGGAAACCATTGGGTAGGGAAGAGTCATATTTCACAAAGAAATCATGCTTGTGGTTGATTGTGTTCAATCTCAGAGAAATGAATGGGAGGGAGAGAGCGGCGAAGGAACCCGGTCTTTAGTGCTCCTGCCCGAGAACTCTGGAATGCTCTACGACTTGAAAGAAGGCCTCGCGTTAGCACAGCTGTGTGAATATTGGATATAGCTTTTATTTCCTCTAACCTTCTCTCTGTCCTAGTGACATATCTTGATTTGAAAGTTTCGAGAATTCTTTCATTCCAAGTACTGAGTGCCAGACCCTCAGCTTGTGGCTGCTAGTCGGTTCAGTGCCAACAGTCTAGGTATCCCTCTGGTTTGCGTTGAGTGTGTATGAAATGAAACAGGAATCCTTAGTGAGGCTGGTAGGCTATGGAGTGCTTCCCCCTTCTTCTACCTGTTACCTCTAGAATTGCTGTCTTTACCTCATATAGAAAACTCAACTACTGACTGTCTTGGCCACACTGCACAGCCCTAAGAAAAAGCAAAGCGGGGTTGAGATAACAATTATCTTTTGTTAATTCCTTCCAAACTGGAGTCATTCCCTTCCTGTTGCCCATGGGTCGTAGGGCGATCCCTATATAACTTACATATAATACAGTGTGAAAACCTTAGGTGTACAGCGGGGTGGGTTTTTCCATATGTATATACCTCTCTCGCCACCTCTCAGATGAAGACATACGCTGTGTGCAGAAGGTTCTTGTGCCTATGGTGTCGTTTTGTAAGAGAGATTTACGAAGCCCTTCAAATGTGTGCCTTTCTCTGAAGTTCTCAGGTGTAAAGCAGAATGGAATCATGGAACGAGGTATAAAGATGACCTTTTGGCAGGTTCAGTTGTCAGCCCTGGGCCTCTATTCCTCAAGTGTAAAATAATATTAACTAGGCAATTTGAGGCTAGACAATTTCTAGAATCCTCCCTGCCCTTGATTCTCTTATTACAAGAAAGAGGGTGAGGGAGTGGGAAGCTAAGTGTCTGCAGAAGGGCATTGAGAGCCACACACTAGAATCTTCCCACTTTTACTCTCAGCCTGCTG